GGGGCCCAGATTGCCGAGATGTCTTAGGCGGTCTGCTTGTTTCGGCCACACAGGCTTGCCTGTGGACTCGTGTTGCCTAAACGCGTCCGGGCCGCACCCATTCACTCACTCACCCCCTCCCCAGTTCTCTCACTCAGACGCATTTACAGTCAGGCATACTTAGCAGCTCCCCTTCCCCACTCAGACTCACACATCACACTCAGCTTCAATCGTACTCAGAGTCACTGATTCGCAGACTCTCTCATACTTAGACTCGCCCACAGTCAGGCTCGCCCACGCTCAGGCTCAATTACAGTTGGAGTAACCAACACTCGGACTTACTCACACTCAAATTCGCCAGCCCACGAAGTCACTGACACGCAGACTCAATCGTATGTAGACTCACTTTTACTTCAGCGTATGCTCATGACTCACTCACACTCAGACTTATTCGCACGAAGGTTCACTCACACTTAGACTAACCCACCGTCATACTCACTCATCCTCAGCCTCGCTCGCACTCAGACTCTTTCATACTCAGACTGATTCTCGTCAAACTGACATTCAGACCCACCCACCCTCAGACTTATTGACGCTCAGACTCGCTCGCACTAATACTCACACATACTCAAACTTACGCATACTAAGACCCACTCGTACTCAGACACTCTCGTGCTTAGAACCACTCACACTCAAACTCAATCATACCAGGGCCCACCCACACCCAGACCCACTCAAACTCAGATCGCTCACGCTCAGACTCGCTGGCATTATTCTCTTTTGTGGTTGTTCGATGCTCCTTCGCTCTTCCGCTTGTGTTTCCATCATATATCCTGAAACATGCCTCGAGGAGGAGGACGTCACTGAAGTCGTCGCTGTCGTCGTCGTCGCGCTCGTCGACTACGTGGACTCGCTCTCGCACCCAGATGCTCACGGACAGAGGTCTTCACCGAGACGTGGTGACAATAATTTGACATGAACATCTGGGGATCTCCGCGTCGAGGAATTACTCTGACGCCGCCAGATCATCATCCTTCCTTCCCTCCCCTCCCCTTCCCCTAATTCGGTTCAGTAATACTCAGATTCGCTTGCAGAGACCAGCTCATACTCAGACTCGCGTATGCACTCACATTTGCACTCAGGCTCACTCACGTTTACACCGAGACCAACTCATTCCCCATACTCATACATACGTACAGCCACTTGCACAAACCGGCTCAGACTCAGACTTCACATGCGAACCGAGTTTCAATCATACTCACTCACATTCAGACCACGCTCGTCGAATTTACTCATATGCAATCGCGTACTCATATCCAGACTCGCGTATACCCAAGCTCACTCACCTTCGCGACCACCTACTCAGACGGCGAGGATATCTCAGGCGGGGCGCTGGTTCCAGCAGCACATGGGGGAGCTGCCAGAAGGCATATTACGGGCCCGCTCGCGCACATATCGTGGGGATGTTTCACGCAGCTTGCCTGGTTCGGTCGCCGGACTCGTCAGCGCTCAGAGAGAGCTGTTTGCGAGGATGTCTCAAGGGGGGCGCTGGTTCCAGCGCTCCATGGGGGGACCGCGAGAGGGGAATATCACGGGCTCGTTCGCGCTCAATTCGTGGTGATGCCTCACACGGTTTGTCGGTTTCGGACCCCAGGCTCGTCTGCGTTCAGAATACATTGTGAAGGTGTCTCAGGCGGAGCGTCGGTTCCACCTTCCAGAAGGAAACCGCCAGGGGGTGTATCACGGGTTCGCTCGCGTCCAGATTGCGGGGATGTCTCAAACGGTTTGCTCGTTTCGGACCCCGACGCCCCCCCCCTGTCGATGGTCCACTGTTTACCGCGACAAAACAAGCGTGGCACTTGGGCGCCCCAAGGGGGGGCCGCCGGGATGTGTTTCACGGGCCCGTTCGCAATCAAATTGTGGGGGTGTCTTAGATCTTAGATCGTGGGGATGTCTCACGCGGTGCCCCCCGAACTTCTCTTTTGGTGGTCCACTGCTCACTGCGACATAGCTGGTGTGGCATTTGGGCTCCCAAGGGGAAGCTGCCAAGGGTGGGGACACTCCAGGGCTCGCGCCTAGCACTCGCAGCCAGACTCACCCACCCCCAGACTCATTCATACTCAGACCACCTCGTACTTAGGTTCACTCATAACCACATTTAGGCTCACAAAACTCACACTCAGACTCACCAGATTCACTCACGCTCAAACTCAAACCCACTCGCACTCAAACGCGCTCGAACTCGGACTCGACTCACGAACCGTTCGCACTCAGTCTTGCCATCTTCAGACGCACTTGCACTAAAACTCAATCGTGCCCAGGTTCGCTCACACGCACACACACACACCGGCTCGTTCGCACTCAGATCACTCACGCTCAGATTCACCCGCGCTAAGGATCATGCGCAGGTTGCTACCGCGATATAGCTGGCGTGGCGTTATGGGCAATGCCAGCTGGCGCCGCGCGTAGCACGCCAGAAAGCGGGCGTAGCAATGCCATGCGCGGTTGCTTGAGTTGCCGCAGTGAGTGAGAATGGCAGGAGGAATCGTCCCTCGCTCTTTCAATTATGTTACCCTCGTCTCTCCTGGAAAACGTCCAGGCGAAGAGGACGTCACTGAAGTCGTCGCTGTCTTCGTTGTCGTCGTCGTAATTTTCACGATTGTCGTCTACGCGGACTCGCTCTCACACCCAGATGCTCACAGACAGAGCTCCTCAACAAGACCCGACCGGAGTATGAGATGCACATATGGAGATTTCCCGCGTTGAGTAACTATCCTGCTCTGATGAGGTCAACGCGCGACGGCGACAACGAGGAATATGGCGACGACGGCGGCGACGACGAGGGCGACAACGACGACTACGAAAAGCAGGACGACGAAGACGACAACGACTACGAGGACGACCGCGACAACGACGACGAATATGATGATGACGACGACCATGACGACGACGACCACCACGACGACGACGAGAACGACGACAACAACGTCGACGAGAACGGCGATGAGAACGACGACGACAGGGCTCAGCACAGATCCACAAGAAGGGGGGAAGGGAAGGGGGATCTTCCGAAGCACCCCGCCCTTGCAACGGTGAGCCCGTTACCCGCAGCCCCGAAAAGGGGTGGAGGGGAGGGGCAGCTTCGGAAGCCCCCCCCCTCAACTGGCGGCCCCCTGCTTCGAAAGGGGAGCCCAGGCTCACCCTGGAAGCCTAGGGGTGTAGCTTCCGACGTCCGCGGGGAGTAGGAGCTTGCGAATCCCTCTGGTTGCTTCCGAAGCCCCCCCATTTCCAAAGGTGGGGCGCAGCTTTCCAAAGGGAGGGAGGCAGAGAGGGTAGCTTCGGAAGCCACCCCTTTTTGAAGGAAGGGGAGGGAGGTGCCCCACTTAGTTCTTCCCGTCTCCCACAGCGCGCTTATTCCCATCTACACATCCATATGTATGTATGTATGTATATATATATATATATATATACATTGTCCCTCCATCTTTCTCTAACTATCTGCCTGTCTGTTTAGATATGCGTCTATCTGTTTATATACCCATCTATATGTCTGACTGTCTATTCATCGGGGCAACAATCGTGACAGCCATGCGCACAACCATTGCGACAACCAATGGCACAACCATCGGGACAACTTCACCCAACGACCGTGGCGCGAGAGTGCGATTAATTATGGCCCTGTTTGGCCTCTACTAGGGCAGGAAGTCGCGCAGCTTCGCCTCGCCTCGCCCGCACGCACGTCACGCACGACACAAACCCAAACCTACGTTGATTTACTGGTTGGGCGACTCTGTTTCACTTCGATCTCACCCACAGCTTTCGGTACATATAGATATATACACACATATATATATGCATATATACATATATTGACACAATTGTATCGGTATATACACTCACAGGTGTGTGTGAGTGTGAATATACAATACACTTCTGCGTGCACATGCATGCACCCACACATACACCCACGCACGCATACAAACATGAAGGCACACCTACGTACATACACACATACATACAAATCAGCATAAGCGCTTCGCGCCGCGCAAATTAGTCCTTCAAGTTTCGCACATAATTCAGCAAGGTGCGAAAGAGAAAGATAGAGAGAGAGAGAGAAATAGAGAGAGCGATACATCGCCAGCCCCATTGGGGGGGCCAACAGGCTGCGAGGCGTAGGTGTTCATGCTCCCTCTAACAGCTCCATTTCCCACTGCTCTAATTCCCAACCCTCCTGAGTTGGTTTCCCGTTTTGAGCAGAGCGCTGTGGTCCTCACTCCATCGTCTCCTTCCTGCCTTCTTCTTACTCTCTTGCCTCCTTACGCCTCCTTCTCCTCCACTCATGGCTCATTCCTCCTGCAAGCCTGCCTCCTACCTTGCCGTCCTACGTGACCTCGACATCCTTTGGGGGGGGACTGCGAATAATGAAACTACCGCCACTTTCGAGGGCTCCTGCGGGGGAAGGGAGGGGGCAGCAGAGTGACGTCCCACGCGGATTCAGATCAGACCAAGCCATCCCTAGGGGGCGCCACTTTCGAGGGCTTCTGGGGGTGATGTTTCAGCCAGCGCCCAATATGTTTGGCGGACCTGCATGCACGACGACACTGACAAGCGGACAAACGAACATCCATCGAAAGACGGCAGCGAATATCCGTCACCCGAGAATTGCATTCGAACAGCTGTAAACTTTTGAAGAAAAAACACATGCTGGCACATCAGAAATGCGAAGAGCAGCGTGCCCATTCGAAAATTAATATACTATACGCCACCAAGCGTGGATTACGCGATTGACGCATACGATACGGATGTGAGTCAACATGTGAAGCGGGTGGCTTCCCCATGAGCAAACATCCACAACGAACGAATTCCCATCGTAGAGCAATCCCTGGAAGTACCCCGGCTCTGCTTCAGCAGCTTGGCACTTGACCAGCATCAGAGACACTCGCTAAACAAGACAACAACACAACTGTGATCCTCCTTCCAGGGGCACATGCTCATACGACCCAACGTTCCCGATCGGGAGCCCCAATCCACGAAAACGGAGATCGCATAGGCCGTTCCATAGTCGACCTCCCTCCTCGATTGCCAGGTCGCGTTGCCGCAATATCACCATTTCGCACTCTCTGTTCCTGGAACCTCTTCTTAACTGAAGGGCTGCCTCACTCGGTCCAGACACATACATGCGTATATGTACTCAGGCAAGCCTGGAGGTAGACGCAAGCTTGGTTCTCGTGGTTCGCACGGCGGCTCAAGTGACCAAGCATTCACAAACAAATGCATGTTTGAACAAACTGAAGCCGCAATAACCTACATTCTGGGAATCGTTCAGAGGAGGGCGCGTGCCATGTTTATGCTTCAAGAAACGCAACGGCTACCCAAACGGATATGCAGGTAACGGCAGACATTTGGTCCCGATGCTACCAGACTGATGCATCCCTCCTGGTATGACCAGCATGTGTATGCAAGGCAGTGCGACCAGCTCGTACGAGAAATAACAACAGCCTCCCCAAGTGCCAATCTATTCGCGGCCGCGTGCGCAACGTGGCTCACGAGTCTGTTTTAATGACCCGCTTGCCTGCGCGCAACTATGCACCTGCGGACGAGGCAACGCCACTCTGCAAGCAAGTGTACTTGTTACTCATGCCCACAAGTATGGGATACTTCTACAAGTCCATGGGAGTACGCATGGCTCCTGCACAACTTCTCCTCGTACTTATACGCCGTCCTATGCTCTTGAACTCTTCGACACACATGGCGAGATAGACGAGGCTCACACCACTTGAACTCCATGTTGGTACCTAATGTGCATCTTACTGTACGCCCTGAAGCGGCGATGCGAACTCCGTGCGAACAATCTACCCACGTCGCGACTAGACGACTTGCAATCCACACCGTGCGTGGCATCATTCTGTAATGTCGAAAGCAAGGGCGCGACAAATGACGCACGTCGGGCGCATCACCACACATTCAAAACCGCTACATTTAGCTTGGCGATCGACCCCACCTACAAAAGCTGCGAATCCATAACGCAACGACCTCCTCCTCACAAGCAATGCGCCGCGAACGGGTGAATCTCCTTGTGAGGCCACGAAGCGCACGAGAGGTGTACCGAAATTTGCGGGGGGGCAGGGGGGGGGGGGGGCGTGCGATACCCTGCCGCTGAAGCCGTCGGTGGAGCTCCCTGCGGGCCCACCAGCTGCGTGAGAGGTGTGCCGAAATGGGCGGGGATACTGCGTGCGATTCCATGCTACTGGCGCCGTCTGCAGAGCCCCCTACGGGGCCACGAAACCTCTGAAGGATTTGCACGTGTTGGGGAAGGGGTGCCGAGATGGGCTGGGGGACGCTATGCAGCACCACACCCCCCGAGGGGGGGGGGGGGGGGTCGGCTGAGCTCCCTAAAAGGGCCACCAAGCGCGTGTGGGGTTTGCCGACATGGGCAGGGAGGACGCCATGAGGCACTACACTATCTGCGGCCTTCGGTGGAGTTCCCTGTGGGCCACGAAGCGTGCGAACGATGTGCCGAAATGGGCTGGGGGCGCTATGCGGCACCATGCTCCTCGGGCTTCGGTGGAGCTCACTGTGGGGGCGCGAAGCGTGTGTGGGGTGGGGTGTGCCGAAATTAGGGTGCGGAGGGCAGAGGAAGGAGGAGGAGGAGGAGGTGGAGGAGGTGGAGTAGGAGTGAGGAGGAAAGATGAATGATTCGCGGCGCTGCGGGCTCAAAACGAGGACCCACCTCAACACAATACCGATGCGAACAAACGATGGTCCAATTTAGGCGTGCGCGCGACAAATGCAACATCAGAACGTCAAGACCCAACACCATGAAACCGTAGGTACGCAATGCATGCCACAAACACACACACACACTGTCATACAACTCCCCCCCTTCTCCAGCACATCGTCTGGCTGCAGTTCGTGAGAAAAACTTCTGGTCATGCACCCGAGATCGCGCCTGTCGAACGGAGGTAGGGCAGATCAAATACCACATACTGAGGATGTATGAATTCTCTGTTATGCGGGCAACAACTCGAGAGATCACAAGCTAGTGTCTCTGATCCTGTCACAAACGATCACGAAATAAGCCCATGCTTGCTGGAGCTGCCTAGAGCAACATGCATCGAAACTGTATTTGACGCTCGGTGGGCTGGTAAAAACACCTGCATCGTCGCAATGTCAGTGCTGCCGTGATGCCAACACGGAAAGCAGTAGCGCGCCGAACTGCAATGGTGCTAAGTTCACTGCGCGCACTGATACACACCATACGGTTGCAATATTTGGCGATCCCACCAGCTCTGTGGTCGTAGATGGTTTAGGCGATCACTCTTTCAAGCATTAAACACATTATGCCCCGTGCGGGAGGGTTTTATCGTGTCCCCAGAGACCCCCCCCCCCGGGGCCTGGAGGGATCCTGGATATCTTGTGGGATGTCACCGCGGCGGCACCGACGTGCAGCCGCCTCGCGCCTACGCCCTTGGTTTGATCGGATGCGCCAGCCCCTTCCCGCGCCGCGCGCGCTTTGCAGGAGGGGACGGCTATTTGTTTGGGACTGTTTTATTGCGATGCGAGCCGCGCCCGCGAGGGTGATAATATCCCGAAGGGTTTGTACCGCTGGCGTGGGCGGTTCTGGTCCTTCAATCGTGCTTTGGGGTCGCCGCCGCGGTGCACCGCGTGCGGTTCCCGCCGCTGTGTTTGCCTGCTGCGCTGGCGGCTGCGTGCTGTGTGTGTGCGTGTGTGTGTGTGTGTGTGTGTGTGTGTGTGTGTGTGTGTGTGTGTGTGTGTCTGCGTGTGTGTGTGTGTGTGTGTGTCTGTGTGTGTTTGTGTGTTTGTGAGGGGCCGGCCGCGCGTGTTCTCTAATTGTTCAGGGACTCTCTCCGCCTCGTCGCTGCACGCGAGGCCGCTATCACCAACAAAAACATGTAGCTGAATGTGTGTGTACACCAGCTGACGTCCATGCGACATGCCAAACTATCACGTTTGCGGGCTCCAGGCAAGAACGTTATCTGTCATAGCTATGAGGCACCCTGATGCCACGCGAGGCCCACTACCGAATCGGAGCGCGAAAGCTCGAGCACCACAGGGCCAGACAGCCGCGCTAGAGACGCTATGGATGTCATAAGCAACGAACCCAAACCAGACCCCGGCAAGCTCGATGGCGAGGGATATATCGAGGGGGGATCGCCCTTCCGCCCCACAGCATCGTCACCCAACTACAACGGTCTGGAGGCTTGAAACCTAGGCCCTTCAAAATTTCCTCAACCATCCCTGCCGAATGCTCTCCGTCACTTCCCTCTCATAAGGTCGATGATGAGGAGGGTGTCGTAGGGGGTCGTCCCTCGGCGTAGCTGCATCGCCACCCGGCTACAACGGCCGGGAGGCTGTAGAGGCAGATGTGTATACCTTCCTTCCGTCATGTCGCTGAGGCCCCCCTGTCACGGCCAAGGATACGGCGGACCCCCAGCGTGCGACTGGAACGAATGCCGGAGTGCCTGGGCCGTGTGAGGCTGGCAAATACAATTACCCTGGCGAAAAGGGCCACCCCTCTCTAAACACATAGCGGATATAAACAAGACCGTTCACAAGAAACGCGAGGAAGGATCTGCAACACCCCTGAACGATTCGCCGAAGAACGTCGGACCACATCCAACGTTCCCCATGCACGCACGCACTCTCGCGACTCAACTTTCAAAAGGGGGGGCCACGAAACGAAAGAGGATCTGCCGAAATTCGGCGGGGCGGCGCCATGTGAACCCAACCGCTGGGACATTCGGTGGAGCTCCCTATGGGTGTGGACCACAGAAAGAATGCCAATGGATCCGGGTCCACATGCGGACCCTGCTACGGGGCCTGTGGTGGAGTTTTTTTGGGGCAGCGAAGCGTGCGAATGGTCAGCCGAAGTGAGCCCAGGTCCGCATGCGACTGCAGCCGTTGGGGTGTTCGGTGGCGCTCCTATGGGGCCACGAACATGTTAATGCGTACCAAATTGACCCGAGACCGCATCCAGACCTTGCCAGTGGAGCCTTCGGTGGAGTTCTCGATGGGGCCACGAAGCGTATGAAGAGTGCGCCGACAAAGGGCGGGGCCGCATGTGACCGCCGCCATTGGGGTTTTCGGTGGGACGCCCCAAAAGGCCACGAAACTCGTGAGGGGTTCGTCGGAAGTTGAAGGACTGCATGCGACTGCACCCGCTGGAACTTTCGGTGGATTTCCCATGGGGCCACGAAGCGTGCGCTGGGTGCGGCGAGATGGGGCGGGCGCGCTTGCGACCGCAGCCAGTGGATCCTTCGGTGGAGCTTCCATATGGGGCCACAAAGTGTGTGATGGGTGCGCCGAAATGCGGCGGGGCCGCACGCGACCGCAACCACTGGGGCCGTCGGTGGAGCTCCCTATGGGACCTCGAAGCGCGCGCTGGGCACAGCGAAACGGGGCGGGGCCGCATGCGACCGCAGCCATTGGGGTCTATTTGTTTTCCCCCAGGGGGGGCCAAGCTGAGATCAGTATGTCTTTCAACGGTCACCAAACGTGACAAGATACACCAACCGCGCTCAGGTCAAGAGGAAGAACACATGCGAGAGAGAACACCAATTAGCAACATGAAATAGAAAACTTGTAATGGAGAGGTGATCCAACTGCGATGCAGACACGAGATGTCTTTAGTGAGGAACCATTTGACTCCAAGGAATGAGTGCGCCACCCACTTTGACGCGTGTGTCCGAGAACTGAGATTCGTAATCGGCGGAGAACCACTTCAACCTCACGGACTGATGGGCGATGTGGCACCCATCGCAGGCATCAGAGATACGGAACTTGGTGTAGAAGATCGCTGCCTTCTTGAACAATCCTGAGCATGCCTGCCTGATCGAGACGAGATCGTCAGCGTCAAGGAGGCAAACTGGCCTGCAATGCGGTGCGACTTTAGCATAAACGACGCAGTGCGGGGCAGGGAGCACCCTGGCAGTTGACGGAGCCAAAATGACTCACAAACACACATCATGACCAAAACGGGAGAGCACAGTTAGAGTCGGAGGAAACTCGGCGCCCATGATTCCCACAAGCACGGAGTCTTAGAGAGAGCTCAAGTGGGACCAATCGAGACACGGTAAGAAAGAAGTGTGTCAACTCATGTCCATGGCGGCTTTCATAGCAGCAGCATTGTTTTGGCATTCCGAACGCGCGCCGACGTCGCATGATGTGCATATCAAGAAACTCTCAACAGTAGTCGCAGCAGTATCTTCCCGATAAGAGAGAGGTGCGCTCGCGAAGCCCATGCAGCGCTGGACAGTTGAAATGAAAATATTCCTCGCACAGGAGCACTTTGTCCTCTGCGGGCTGCATGCCACCAGTCAAATCTGCACTAGAGCACTCATGAACATGTGCACCCTGAGAGGCAACTCGTGTTGACGACACTCCAAGCCTACTTTTGAGCTCCTCAATCGCACCCATAGGCTTGTCGGAAATGATGTATTGGATCATGCCGCTGGGGTCATCGCTAAGGCTGGGCTTGAGGTAGATGGCAAGGGGGAGCAACCAGTGGGCACACAGGGCCTTGCGACCAGGACTCAAAACCGCGAACGCATCCAGGAAGAGCTTCTCTACGTCCGTTGCCAGCATGGTCGAGGAGCCAGGGCCATCCTCCGGCATCGAGCGGACAACATCCACCGCCGAGCCCTGGAGAACCGCTGCGGGGTGCTGGGACAGGTAGTCCTCGGCAAGACGGGAGTCGGTCATGTGAGTCTGAGAAAGGGAACACTCCGTGCTCGCCACCACATCAATAACAAGATTAGGTGTGGGGCCAGATAACTCTTCCTCGGCACTGGTCAGCTGCGTACATGTGGCGGTGTCGGTAATCTCCCCCTCAGACGAATCAATCGGTTCAGCAGCCATTTCTTCGCCACAGACATCGTCAGTCTCCTGCTTTGGGGGCGTAGGTGTGATGGCAATGATCTCAGACAAGAGGGAGGACAATTTAGGGTGGGCGGCCGCGTTCCTCTTGCGACTCAAGAGCCCGAGCCGGTTCGAGAGAGCGTGGTGACCTCCATTACGAAGGCGAACTTTCGCATCTTGAATCCGAGAGCACTCAAGAGATTTCAGAATAGCCTCTTGAATGACAACTGGGTCCTCTTCTGCACGGCGGTCGGTATTGGCACTGAATTCGATGATGGCCGCTCGAATGGCAAAGCGGCGGTCGCTGGCGCACAGCGATGAAGCGGCAATGGAGTCAAGAACGCCAGTGAGTTCCATGATACCGAGAAGTACGAATGCAGAGGGCAATCGCGCCGCCGCCAGCTAGCCGAATGGCTTGAGCCAGAATGGCTACGGACGCAGCCATTGGGGTCATCGGTGGACTTCCCTGCGAGGGCGCGAAACGTGCGGCGGGTGCGCCGCAGAAGAAGCGGGGCCGCATGCGACCGCGACCACTGGGGCCTTCGGTGGAACGCCATGTGGGGCCACGGAACGTGTGAGGGGCATGCCGATGTGGGGCACTCGGTGGAACCCCCTTATGGGGCCACGAACGGTGTGGGGGGTGACGGGCGCGCCGGAACAGCGACGAGACGCGATACTGATGAATGTGGCGACGGGTGTGAAGGTGATGAGGTTGTCGGCGATGATCAGGACTCCCGTGATCGGTCAGGTTCGATGTGCTAAAAAAGGAAGCGACCAGCCATGCAACGGGATGAACAGGCCGCGACGTGATTGCGGCGCAGAGTGGTCGCAGATGGCGGCACCTGAGCAACATCTATCGAGAGCGCGCGTGCAGCGCGCGCTTGAACACAACAGAACACAAGGATTCCTGCGCACGCATGCGATGAAACACAATATGCAGTAACTCGATCGCGACACAATCAAGGCGAGCTCCTCCGCGCTTCCCCGCTCCCCGCTCTAGCAGACAAGGCAAAACTGGCTGTCTGATATCGCCATATAACTAAGAGACAAGAGGATGCGGCAGCAAATGAGAGAGACACTCCGCGGCGGGGGGCGTCAGGGCAAGCAATAAGGAATGGCAGCGGCAGCGGCGGAACCACATCCGAACCGAGAAAGTCCACGAGCCTGCCGGGATCTGGAAGTCGTAGCCCACCCCATGATCCAGGTCTTGGTCGCGCCGACGAGAACGAAACACGGCATCCTTTGAGCAACCAGTTGAATTATGATGCGCGTGGCGGTGGCATTTTTGGAGCCAGAATTTAACTCTGGTGCCCGAGTGCCTCATCCTCGGAAGCAGCCAGGTGGTCGCACTCGTCGTGGTAACGCGCAGCTGTAATACATGTGACAAGACATTCTATCATGAAAACGATCGGGGTACTCATGGCGCAACGACCAGTCACCCCCCGCCGTCAGGACATGGTACTCAGCATCCATCCTGTGGAAAGAACCAGTCCTGCAAGTCGCGCGACGCTGAGAAGCTCTCGCAAAAAGGTCATGCTGCTGTTGGCATTCGCAGGAAGCCCCAAATCCTTGAGGCGAAAGAGTACGTCTGGATGCGGAGAGTGGCGCGGCCGGACGATGACCGCTTGAAGCCCTTCGTGCTAGGCTCGGAGAACCTGCGCGCGGGCGCGAAGAACTGGGCGATGCGCGTCGGGGCGCTGGACTCAAGCGCGTTGTAGCTGATGATGGTCTCCGCGAAGCCGACCGCCAGCTGTCTGCAGAAGGTGAAACTGTCGCGGTGCCTCTCTAACGGCGACCTCCGCAAGTCCCCGCGGTCGTTGCGGCCGACCCCCGCGCTGAGATATGCGCCTGCAGAGACGAAGACCAGCGAAGAACTCTCGAGACCAGTGGGGCAAGTCGCAGATGGATCTGCGAATGATTTGTTGTGTTGAAACAGAATCTTGCTGCAAGTGACCCACAGGCCGGCGGCCCCCCCGCATGTCGGGGGCAGGTCAAAGAGAACCAGCAGCGCGCAGTGCACATCCCGCGAGACGTGCGCAAGGTCATCTGCGAAGCATATGACGAAAAATGCTGGCCGCGGGACTGCCGCGCAAGCGTCTAACCGCTGGGTCTGGGCGAAGCGCGAAGATCGCCCCAGTAGGACAACCTTGCTGGATTTCCGAAAGAGCTTCGAAGACCTCGGAAATGCCGTCACCGGCGCGCGCGCGTGCCAGCGCGGGGGCCCGACACCGCGCAGAGTGCACCAGAGTGGCCCCGCAACCAAAGAAGGGATCCTTGATGCTCTCCCCATCTAACAACTCGATGAAAACATGTGGACGATATTGTCATGCATGTGGCGGCCTCTCACGAAGCCCCATTTGTGCCCAATCTACCGTGTGCTGTGCTCGCTGTGCTAGTCCGCGTCCGATACCGCGCGATAGTGGCTCGTTGCATGTGTAGGAGAGCGAGGGAGGTCCAGTAGCTGTGAGCGCCCAAGCAATACCCATAATCCCACCAGCCTTCTGGGCGTAGGCGGTTTAGATCGTTTCCTCTCCCAACCTCCTTCTTCCCCTTCGGAGAGAGGTTTGCCCCTCCCCCCGTGCCCCCTCCCTTGGACCTGGCCGGGGGGGGGGGGCGCGGCGAGGCGTCAGGGCGGCCAAGACGGCCTCGACGAGAAAACCAAACTCATTGGTTGCACGAAAGTTTTGGCCCCATTTTGGCCTCTTGGGGAGGCAGTGCGAATTGCGACCCTTCTTCCAGGATGGCCCAAGAGGCCCCTTAGAGGCCCTAAGAGGCCCCATGAAAAGACCCAAAGCGGCCCCAAAAGGCCCCTCCAAGGTACCCAAGACGCTCGAAAGCACCCCAGGACCGCCAAGAGACCCCCATGGCGTCTCAAGAGGCCACCAAAAAACGCCCACGAGATATCCCAATAAGTTCCGGGAGGCATGCGGGAGACAACTGGCCCTTTTGCTTGCCCTCCCCCTCCTGCTCCTCCTTCCTCCTCGTATTCCTGTTCTTCCTCCTCCTCCTGCCTTTCCTCATCCTCCTCCTCATATTCATATTCCTTCTTCCCATTCAGTCATCCATCCATCCAGCCTCCTCCTTCTCCTCCTCCCCCCCCTCCTCCTCCCCCCTCCTTCGCGCGGCTCGGCCGTCCCCATATTTGCTCCCGAACTTCTCTGATCACCTCCTCTCGCCTGGACATCGTTTCTGGATGGGTTGGTGGGGATGCGCGAAGCGTCTGGAGGTTCACTCGGCAGTTCATGGACATGAAGACCATGAGTCACGAGTTCAACTCCTCAAGTATATCCTTTCCTCCCAACAGACACGGGTGAACAGCTGATCGCAGTTGGCTAGCTCCATCTCCTCAGTTGTGGTAGCAAGAGAACGGGATGCCATCGGGGCAAGGAGGGATGCCAATAATTGTCCTGAGCATCTCACGCAACGTGCCCGTGCCGGCGCTGGTCGTCCATGAAACGTCCCTCGCAACATTTGGGATGCAAGCTTGGCACTGTGTCCACTCCTCTTCCCTGGTTTGTGCAACTCCGTGAACCTCCCCCCCAATCAGAAGACGCGAGGGCGGCGCCTGGTGCGCAGTCTTGCGCATCGCAGCCGCCACGGCCGACGATGACACGCAGGGGGAGCTGTCAAGTGCGATCCACCCAAGCAGCGCGCAACCTCTGGAACTTATCATTCTGCTGAACTTTGAAGGCAACATCGATCTCTGGCCCCCGAGCCTGCGAGTGCGCCGCGGCGGCGCTGTTCGTAAACCCTGAGAACCAGCCAGATATGGCAAGTGCAAAACTCGATGGTGACATGTTTTTTTTGCTCATGCACAGCACGGGCAACACTTTGCACAAACGTGTGATCAGAACACCCCGTCGCGCGCAAGACCGCGAAAGGCCAGCTGACCTTCTCCTCTGGCGTCTCGGAGCCAGAGACTGACAGCTGCTGTTTGGTGAGTTCAGCCGCGCGATGCATGGTCCCCATCGCGCTACCGCGGCATGTGAAACAGGTGCCAGTCGTAGGGAAGACAGACAACTATCTCAAGATCTCGCCGAACGCAGGCCTGTGGGCAACCCGGGAAAGGGCCCCAGGCCCGCGCGCTGCGCTCTGATGTCTACCAGGGCGCAGCTACATATACAGAGGAACATGAGCACTAGGCTGCGTCGTGCCAGTAGCTTTCCACTGGATCAGACACGCAGGATGCCAATCGGCCCATCGGGGCCAAACATTATATCCTGTTGGAGCAAGGTTGCCATCCTGCGTCGTGCGGTGTGTAGATTGGTCCTGCTTGATCTCCATCGACCAAGGAAACAACAGGTCAGCGTAGATGTCAAGGTCATCGGGCCGATTCTCCGGCCCCCATCGCGGGGCCACCAGGCTGTAAGGTTAGATCGCTGCCCCCTGCGCCACTTGCAGTTTCAAGTCTCCAATGTTACAATCTTGCCTGCTGCTTCCCACCGAAAATCGTTGAAATCCGCGCGAGGGAAAGGCCCAAACCAGCCATTTACCAAGCCCAAATCGCGCCGCCTGAATTCCCGGGGCGCGAAGCGCGCGCAAATCCATGGCATTCGCGCCCCCGAGGCCATAATCCTTCTTAACATACGCAATGTTCGCGCCCCCGAAACAACAAACTTTTGTAAAATATGCATGGCTTGCGCCCCCGAGTCAGCGCGCCTTCGTCAATCGCCCCGCGCTCGCGCCCCCGAAGCCATAACCCGTCGTCAATTGCGCGATTTCCGCGCCCCCGAAGCAACAAACGTTGGCAACTTATGCAATTCTTACGTCCCCGGAACCAAGGACCTTTTGCGCATTCGGCAATATTCGCGCCCCCGAGGCCATGAACCATCGCAAATTACGCCGCGCTCGAATTTCCGAAACCAAGAGCGCTCCAAGGTGCCCGAAGATGGTTCCAAGACGGCCCGAGAGGGCCCCAAGATGCCCCAAAAGCGCCGAGGGGCCTCCCGAGAGAGCCCCAAGAGACCGCAATCGTCGATTTTACGAAAAATATTTTGAAGGATTGTGGCTGGCTTTCCCCATTTTCGCTTTGCCGACGCTCCAAGACGGTTCAGAAGCTCCCAAGACCGACCCGAAACAGCCCATGACCCACGAACCGCTCCGAGAAGGCCCGAGAAGCCCAGGAGGCCCCAAGAGGCCGCCAAATGGCCCCAAGAGGCGCCCAAGACGCGCCCAAGAGGCCTCAAAGAGGCCCAAGAGACACCCCTCGAGGCCACCGAGGCATCCAAAAGGCTTCCAAACTGCCTCCAAGAGGCCCCCGAGGGGCTCCCCGCGACACTTCAACACATACACCATAGGCCTCATACCCACAACCCAGGCACGGTGGCGGTGCGGGCTGAAACTAGGACGACGCCCGCGTCTCAATATGCGCTGATGATTCCCACCCGCCCCCGCACGATGTTCCCCGATGCGCCAAGACAGCGCCGAGACACACCGACGCGACCATGACATCGCTCGCACTCATCGACGCGACCATGACATATCCCATTATGATTGGAGAGGGGGCCCGCGGCAGGGGGCGGAGACCTTACATGTTAAGTCTGTCGTGGTTCATTCTATAGAACAGCGAGTATGTGGAAGTGCGCCGAGTCAGTTTTACCCATGTCAACTTCTTGATATCGCTGGACAGCTGCTGTGGGACATGCGCGCTGAAAAAATTGAAATGCCCATCCGCCCCTCCAAGTTGTAGCGCCGTCTGCCGACCCAAAGAGGGAGAGAGACAGAGAGAGAGAGAGAGAGAGAGAGAGAGAGAGAGAGAGAGAATGAGAGAAAGAGAGGGAGAGAGAGGAATACATAAAGAGAGAGCGAAACTGCGGAACGCTCTGGTGCCGAAATCGGCCAGCGCGTACTTGCGGATCATGGTGATGACCCTGCCGCCGATGGAGATGAGGAAGCTGCCGTAGCAATGGAGGAGGAATTCGGAGGAATTCGCTGCGAAGAGAAGTGAGGTCGCCCACGTGCCCGTGCGTCTCCTGAATCAGGATGACCGAGGCGTCGCGGGAGAGGGAGTGGAGGCGATTCCAGATGGAGCTCTGTTTGCCACTCTCACGACCGATGGCACCGAAGAGAACCTGAGAATTCACGTGACGATCCTGAGGGGGTGATTCGGCGCATATAGAATGGCGAAGTGATCATTATCATTTGAGCCAGAAGAAGGCCAGGTAGAGGATGAAGCCGAAGAGGTACACGAACGACTGGACAAGATGCCGCTGCCATATCCTGTTCAGCCACAGCGCCCCACGTCATAGGAGCCACAAAATCTGAAGCCACAGAATTTGCACCAGCTGTTCTACGTGGCCGCGACGTCCCCGAGCTGCTGGAAGCGATGTTGTCGACCATGGTGGTGGCGGTGCCGACATCCATGACAAGCTGCTCGATCCCCATCTGTTTGGGACTGGTGATGAACCTGTCCCGGTTATGAATCCGTGCCTTTAAAAACTTGATGCGCTTCTTCATCTTGGATCAACCAGAACTCGTGTCGAAAGCCATTGCCAGGCATGCGCGTAGAGGGCTGCCACAGCTATGGCGACCAGGTGCTTCTTGATCGGGCCGTAATGCTTTGCCAACTGGCCCTGCCTTGCTCTTACATCATCAGGAAAGTCCTGACATGCGTTGATGCTGTGCCGCTTCTGATCCCTTGGAAGAGTCCACGCTGGGTCCCATTCGTTAAGGGACTCACGACCCTTTTTGTTTTCTCCATAGTCGCCAAACTTCACGGTGTAGCTCTGGCTGGCCGCTGCAAATGTGACATGTGTCCAGGCCTGTTTCTCCGGATGGGGTCCTGGCAGTCAGCTCGTTGTGCCACGCCTCCAGTTGGGCGCGACTTGGCCATCCACCCATCCATATCTTATTTTGTCATGATCACCCGTCGTAGAACCAGTCAAGTCAACCACAGATGCAGGCTGCCCAATCTAAATCAGCATACGCTTGGGTGCTATCCTGCAACTCGACGCAGTCCATGGTGCCGCTGGGGGAGGGCTCGCGTGCTTCAACTGCGGCATCCTCATCTTGAGACTGGAGATTAGATCCTTGATCGTCCTGATGTCGTCGCAGACTCTCGGGAACAAATCTCTCACCTCCATAGCCTGGCCCATGAGCGTCTGAAGCGCCGTCGTCGTCTTCTGGAGCTCCGCCGACATGGTCTCAACATCCTCCATGTGGGAAAGAGTCATGTCTGATGCAACTAGAAACTCACTGTCGCGAGGAGCTCACAATGAAGATCGTGAAGTGAAGCTGTTCCTGCAAGCAGGTAGCCTTGACCCAGGCCTCACGGCTGCGTCCAAGCTCAAGCTGCGAAGGCCTCGCAGTTTGATCTTGAGCCAAAATGGCTACGGATGATGCTGTCGACGATGAGGACGATGCTGATGACAAGGATGAGGAGAGGAGGGGGAGGGGGTGAGGTAAGGTAGAACGAGCGCTGCGAATTCAAAACGAGGACCCAGCATACAGGAGGGTTGGGAACAGAAGGCAGGAGAGAGGCTAGCAGGCCCAAGATGGCTCCAAGATGGCCCAAGAGGCAATCCAAAACAGGGAGCCCCAGTGTGACCGCACGAACCCTCGAAGAGGCAACCATCATTGATTGCTCTATCTTTCACAACAGTCTTGTTCAGAGAGGGGTCCTCGTTTTGAACCCGCATCGCCCAGCGTCATTCTTCCTTCCTCCTCTTCATCCTCTTCCTCCTCCTCCTCATCCTCCTCCTCCTCCTCCTCCTCCTCCTCCTCCTCCTCCTCCTCCTCCTCCTCCTCCCCCTCCCCCTCCTCCCTCTGCCGTCAGGCCCGAGCCTATGAGGAGAGGGCCATTTCCTGCGTTACTCGCAGCTGCTTTGGATTGAGTTTCTTGCATCAGAAATATTTGATTTAGGCTTGTTTCGCCGCCTGGGTCTTCAGATCGTCCCTGACGGCCAACGAGGCGCCCAAGAGCGCTCACAGACGCCAGTGCTGAAAAGGGCTCCAAGAGGGTTCCAGGTGTGCCTGCGAGGGCCCCGAGAGGGCTCCAGGACCGCCCCCAACGGGGACACAGTGCACCCCAAGAGAGCCCCCAAGACGCCCCGAGCGGGCTCCGACGAGGCTGCAGACCGCCCAAGTGGTGCTCACGTCAGCCCGAGATGGATCCAAGCGAACCCCAATACGGCCCCCCAGTCCGGTCCCGAAGCGCGCCAGCATGCCACGTGCGAGCTATTCTCAGGAGGGGGTGCCCGCTGTGTCTCACGCCCTGCGGGTCCTGGCCGTGTTGGGTTGCGCGCTCGCGGTGCTGCACCGGCGGCTGGATCCGCAGGCGCCGCCTCCGCCGACGGCGGACCCCTGGCGGCTGAAGAAGGCCAGGCAGAAACTGGCCACGAAACCGAGGAAGCAAGCGATCCGCCAGTCCGAGGATGAGATGGCGGAGAGCATCGTCCCAGATTGCGGGTCGTCCGAAGCTATGCGCGCGGCGGTCGGTCCCTCGCCACCGGTCGGTGGTCTATCTTGCAAAGATGGGCGTCGTTGAGATGTGCAGCAGAAACGTGTTGCTGCAAGGGGAACTTGCAAACGCTGGCGGTGCGGATGAGCGTGCGGATGGAGGCAGTGGCGATATCCACCGAGGTCCTGCTGATCCTGCTGGCGACGCAGATAGTGTCGCGAGTCGATGTCTTCCTGGCGGTCGTGCTGCCGAAGAGGAGACCAACGACGTGGACGTGCAGGTGCACTCTAAGTCCAAGCTGCAGACGGCTGCGGGCAGGCGACCCGCGAGCAGGATGGCGAGACGGCAACTTTCGTCGCGTGCGCTGCATGCGAAGCGATGCAGCTGGAATGTGCTTCGGAGGTGGTGGCAACGCTTCAAGCAAGCCCCGCCTCCGTGTCCCCAAGCGTAAGGTGCCCCTCAGCGGCGGGTCCCGCGCGCGCCAGCGGGGACTGCAGAGAGGTCAGGACGCTGGCCAGTGACCCGGCCAGTCAGCGGGGCATCCGCGGGGGCTCTACTGCGGAGCGGGAGCCACGGCGGAGCTCCCAAAGGAAGCCCGCCGTGGCTCCCGCCCTGCGGGCTCAATGCGGCGGGCCCCGACGGACGCGCAGCGGGAGCCCGGTGCCCTGGGCGGGGCTCGCGAATCCGCATCAGCACAGCTTCCTGGGGCCTCACTTCGGCCTCACTTCGGCCCCTGAACTGCCCAAGAGTGCTCCAAGAGAGCCCCAAGATGGCTCCGACACGGCCCGAAGACAATCCAAGACGGACCCCAAAAGCTCTAGAATGTGCGACTGTCATTGGTTGTTCTGCGCGTTTATTGCTGCATCTTCGCCCTCTCGATGTTCAGAGCGTCCAAGACGGCACAAGAGGCACCCAAGAGCGCTGGAGAGAGCACCAAGACGGCTCCAGGGGACCGAAGAGGGCCACACACCACCCTGAGCCCTAAACGATCCCCACGACGCCTCGAGGGGATTCCGACGAGGCCCCAGCCGGCCCACCAATGGCCCACTGCAGCCCAAGAGGGGTCCAAGCGAGTCACCAGGCGGCCACGAGGAATGCGAATTTGCATATTTTGCGGGCTAGATTCCCGAAGGAGGGCCGGCCCTGGCTCCCGCTCTGCGGGCTCAAATCGCCTAAACATCGTTACGCTTAGGTCGTCGAAATTAACATTTCCATGCAAGCAACCGCTGGGGTTTACCATGCCAGACGACCCGCCTCTGGAAAAGATCTCGCACTGCATAGCGAACGCCGCCAGTGATATTCACCATGGTTGCAGTAAATTCGAGTGACCGTCTTGTGGATCCTCTGTTCCTGGACGGGCGCACGCGCTGCAAACTATCTGCCAGCGCCCGGAAATTCAGAACGCTCCATGAACGATTGCGCACCACGCGAATGCATGTGCAAAACAACACTTACCGTCGACGTGCTTCGCGCGCATACACATTCTCTCTCTCACAAACACGCACACACACCCATCAATGCTCCCTATTAATACATCCCCTCCTCCAGGCGACCAGCAGCCAACCAGGAACAATGAGGACACCATGATCACACCCCTCCAACCATCCTTTTCAAAAAACAATACGAACTCACACTCTGCCTCCAAATTCGGAGCATGCGCAAGCAACCCAGTGCGCCCCCCCAACATCCCTGTCAAAAACAATACAAAGTACATTTTGGGGCAAAGACTGGATTCAGGTTCTTGAGGCCCGCGAGCACTTTGTTCCCAACCATCCTGTGCTGGGTCATCATCTTTAAAAAGACAGCGCCCCGCGTCCACCTCTCCTCTCCTTCCTCCTTCCCCTCCTCCCTCCTCCCATCATCATCATCATCATCATCATCATCATCATCATCATCATCATCATCATCATCAGCAGCAGCAGCAGCAGCAGCATCAGCAGCAACATCATTCACTCATCATCATCATCATCATCATCATCATCATCATCATCATCATCATCATCATCATCATCATCATCATCATCATTATTCATCATCATCATCATCATCATCATCATCATCATCATCATCGTCACTGTCATTGTAATCACCATCGTCATCACCATTACGGCCGTCATCATCACCATTATCGTCATCGTTCCCCGCCCATGCCTGCACGCCCTCACACGGTTCGTGGCCCCATAGGGAGCTCCACCGAAGGCCACAGCGGCAGGGTTCGCATGCAGTTCCACCCTCATTTCGGCGCACCCCTCACACGGCCCGTGGCCCCATAGGGAGCTCCACCGAAGGCCCCAGCGGCAGGGTTCGCATGCAGTTCCACGGACGGGAAGCGACGCAGCGCGATCAGCAAACATTTTTGTGCACGCGCCCCCAGGCACGGGTCCGATCCCGTGGCGTTTCCCCAAATACCCGCAGAATCTATCACCAGAACCCCAACACCCTAAACGGAACAGCTGAACCCGAACACCCGAATACCCGCGCAGAAACCCGAACCCCAACTCCTCAAAACTTACACCCGAGCCCTGACACCCGGACCCTAACATTCGAATCAGAACATCCCAAACCGAACACCTTAATTAACCCAAACACCGATCATCTGTACCCGAGTCCGAAAGCCCTAACCCAATACTTGAACTCCCGAACAACCCAACACTATCACACGAAACCAAACAGCCGACCTTTAACATCCTAACCCTAACCGAACACCCATACCCTGACACCCTCACCCTTACACCCTAACCTTGACACCGAATACCCGGGCCGTAAGCCCGAAACCGAGTGCCTCAACACCCTGTCCCAAACACCCTAGCGCAACACCTTGACCGAAACACCCTGACTCTTGATCTGGCTCGTTCCTCAGAGCCTTTTCGCCCAGAGCTCCCGCTCGGGGCGGAGAGCGACAAGGAGAGAATATGATGGATGTGGGGGGAGGGAGGGAGATGGAGAAGGCGGGGGTGAGCAGGATTGAGGGAGGAGTCAAGACGAGGAAAAAGGAGAGAGAAGGAGGCAAGAGGACGATGAGGATGAGGAGGATGAGGAGGAGGAGGAGGACACATGCGTACATTCAGACAAGTGCACACAAACAGAGGCACGTACAAACAATACCTGCGCGCGGGTCGTGAGTCAGGGACATATTGGATGCCTTTCGGTGCCTCGCGGAACGATTCTCAGGGACTTCTTGGACGCCTCTGCGGGGCTTCCAGGGGGCCTCTGGGGGGCCCCTGGGGGGCCTCTTGGGAGCGTCTGGGGCTCTGTTGGGGGCGTCCTGGAGGCCTCCCAAATGGTCTTGGCGCCATGTTGGGAGCCAGACGGCCCTTCTTGGAACGTTCTTGGGGCCCTCTTGGAGCTCCCTTGGGGCCCTCTTGGGGCTCACTTAGGCCGTTTTGGGGCCCTCCTGGGACGTCTGCCTCTTGGGGCTGTTTGGGCGCTCTGATATCCAAGGGAAAGGGTATGATAAAAATCTGCAGTGTACGAAGAGAATGGGACCATTTTGGTCTCCTGGGGCCCTCGTGGGGGGCCTCTAGGAGCTCTCGTGGGACGTCTTGAAGGCCTTTTGGCCCTTCTGGAAGCCATTTTGGGCCGTCTTGAAACGCTCCCGGGGCCCTCTTGGGGCCCTCTTGGGGCTCTCCTGGGGCCCCCCTTGGGGCTCACTTAGGCCGTCTTGGGGCCCTCCTGGGCCGTCTTGGAGCTGTCTTAAGCCGTCCTGGGGCGTCCTTAGGCGCCTCTTGGGGCTGTTTGGGCGCTCTGATATCCAAGGGAGCGAATCTGCTAAAAATAAACGTTTCACGAAGAGAATGGGGCCATTTTGGTATCCCGGGGCCCTCGTGGGGGGCCTCTTGGAGCTCTCTTGGGGCGTCTTGAGGGCCTCTTGGCCCTTCTCCAAAGCCATCTTAAGCAGTCTTGAAGCGCTCCTGGGGCCCTCTCGGCGCTCTTGGAGCGCTCTCGAGCGGTCCCGGAGCCTCCGGGGGTCGTCTGGGGAGACCCCGGGGAAAAGGGGGGCCGTGGTACAAGCGGGGGGCCGGCCATAGGGCCCCGGGGCCGGATCTCCCATACATGTGGATATTATATATACACACATGCATGCATGCATGCATGCATGCATGCATACATACATACATACATACATACTTACATGCATACATACATACATACATACATACATACATACACACACATACATACATACATACATACATACATACATACGTACATACATACATACATACATACATACATACGCACATACAAGCACACAACCAAACAAACAAACAAACAGCCATACAAACATACAACCATACAAACATACAAACATACAAACAAACAAACAAACACACACACATACATACATACATACATACATACACACATACATACATACATACATACATACATACATACATACATACATACATACATACATACATATATATATACATACATACATGCATACATACATACATACATACATACGTACATACAAACATACATGCATACACACATACCTACATACCTACACACCTGCATACCTACATACCTACATACCTACATACACATACATACATACAGACATATATACATACAGGCATACATACATACATACATACATTCATTCATGCCTACATACAGACATACAATCATACATACAAACATATATATGCATGTGTACATACATACATACATGCATACATACATACATACATGCATGTACGCATACATACATACATACATACATACATACAAACATACATACGTACACATATGTCTCTATATATACATAAACGCACGAACAAACATGCGCATGTGGGCATTTCAGAGACAGAGGCGGCACATGACCCTGACTTTGACTCGGCACTGCACATGGTAGCTTGAACTTGGACTGGACTGCGACGCCAATATGCTTGGACCGCATCGCGCATCGTAGCCCACGTGAGCAGAGCTGGTGCAACCGAAGTAAAATTCCCCCCCGCAGTCGCGGGTAAGCGTGAGGGGGCGCCAGGTACGTCTGCAGTCTGCGAGGCTCTGAAGAAGCCCGCCGCTGACGCCGAACGTTTACAAATTATATAACGAGTCCGCCGTAGGCGCCGACTTGTCGTAAAAACAATGCGGGTGGGTCACGGGTGGGTCGCGGGGTGGGTCGCGGGTGGGTCGCGGGTGAGTCGCGGGCTGGGTCGCGGGTGGGTCGCGGGTGAGTCGCGGGTGGGCCGCGGCCAATGACCGATCGGCCCCCTCACTCTGATGAGACCGTTCGGCCCCCTCACTCTGATCAGATATGAGTTGCTATGACAATACAGTTTCTGCTGGTGCTCCTTTCTACTACAGCCAAGCCAACGTGCAATATCCCGATGCCGCTACACAACATTCTCCCAGACCGACTGGTTGCTATGCCATGCGTGCGTGCCTACTGTAGCTTGCAGATTTCCCTGCTGTGCAATTATTGCCCCACCCTGAGCCCACCAAAGTACAACGGCAGGGTTTCCATCGTCCATTCTGCGAACCCAAACTTCATGAGAGCCCGCAACGTTGTGTATTCGTCGCCCTGGCCCCATCTCGCCCATCCCATTCTGAACACGGATCTATCACGCATGCTTGCGGCACGAACTCTCAGGCAGGGTTGCAAAAGCGCACTTCGGTCGTAAACCACTTGCGGGTGCGTTAGCTGGAAGAGAAACTGTGCCTGCTCAAGCGCTTGCACGTTTGCCAAGCCTCTGGCAAACACATCTCATAATAAAGGCAATGCTCGACCTATACGACTACCCTTCAGGTGATAAGGAGGTTGTGGTGGGGGGGGAGAGGGGGGGAATCAACATCTGACTCAATCGATATCACTATCGATCTCACTCAACGGGACACCACGGGGCACCACATCGATCTCACGATCGATATCACTATCGATCTCACTCAACACGACACCACGGGCCACCACGGGCCACCACGGGCCACCACGGGACACCGCGGGACACCTCTCGATCTCACGATCGATCTTACTATCGATCTCACGATCGATCTCACCGAGCGGGACACCATAGGACACCACGGGACACCTCGGGACACCACGTCGCTCTCACTATCGATCTCACTATCGATCTCACTATCGATCTCCTTCAACGGGACACCACGGGACACCTGTCGATCTCATTTTTTGGGACACAACGGGACACCTCGGGGTACCACATCGATCTCAGTATCGATCTCAGTATCGATCGCCGATCGCACTATCGATCGCACTCAACGGGACAACACAGGACACCACGGGACACCTGTCGATCTCACTATCGATCTCACTCAACGGGACACCACGGGACACCTCGGGGCACCACATCGATCTCAATATCGATCTTAGTATCGATCTCATTATCGATCTCACTCAACGGGACACCACGGGATACCGCGGGACACCGGTAGGGCCACCGCCGGACGGACGGACGGACGGACGGACGGGCAGGGGAGCAACATTTGTCTTGACTTCGCCCTGGCAGCGGCGGACACCACGGGACACCACGGGACACCGCGGGACACCGCTAGGGCCACCGCTGGACGGACGGACGGACGGGGGAACAACATTTGTCTTGACCTCGCCCTAGCAACGGCGGGTTCATTCCTCTCGCGCGCCCACGCAGCTTCGCCTCGCCCGCACGCACGACACGAACGAAACGAAACGATTTCCCGGTTGGGGGTCTCCGTTCCACTGCGATCTCACCCCCCAACCTCCGACTATGAAACTGCACGGGCCCTGTCAATAATGTGCCGGGACACCGTCAGGACCCTGTAACTCCCCGCACCCTTTCGGATGTTACATCGGAGATGCAGTCGTTTCGGGGCTGTCTTGAGCCCCATTTGGACCCACGCGTGTGCAGTCTGAGGGCGACAGCGGTCGGAGTTAAGAAGGTAAACTTGCATGTGTCAGCCCTGAGCTCCCGCGGAAGTGAGGCCTGCTTGAACTCATATGGCAACGTTTTCCTCTGTTTAGTGATAGCGGCCGTTGCTGGCCCCAGCCGCCCCCTGTGGTAACGTCACGATTGGTGCCAGCCCCGTCTGGGAACTCCTAGAAAGAGCCAGAACAGCACGAATAGCAGATACCTGGTGGGATCTGCTACGGCACAGCGTGCGTCAGGTTATGGGCATGCAAGGACCTGAGACGCATATTTAATCGCAGCGCATGGTATTGCTTGGAATTGAATCGTTCTGGTTTCGCTCTATCTGTCGCTTCTCTCCCCCGCCTGCTCCTCCTCTGCCTCCACCTCCTCCTGTTGTCGTTCTCGTCCTGTCATTACAAAATGTACGGTGCTTCGAGCAAGGACACATGGATGAAGGAGGAGGGGTGGGCAAGGCAGGCGGGGCCAGGCCGAAACGACCTGTTCGATTGCACTCCTGTTATCGCTTCGGGCTCTGGGAGGGGTCTGGGCGCCCCCTGAGCCTTGAGCCCGAGGGGGGAAGTGGCCTCTTTTTTTTGGGGGGCAACCCCCATGCCTCAGCCACAGATGCGAGAAGCCAGCGGAAAAGGGGACGACGACGGTTACATCAAAGGGATGAAATCGTCGAGGTCAACAGTGACACCCTGCTTGTCTGGGTGGAGGCCCCTCTTAAGCCTCCTAAAATTTTAATTCCCGAGGCAGTAGCGGGTTGACAAGCCTTGCTAAGGCCAATCACCTGAGCACCGCTGGAATAAAACATACACCTCAAACAAATCCAAAGAAACGAGGCGTCCTAACACGGAAACGCCAAAATACGGTGATTGAGGCGATCAATGATACCTTGGTCTAACTTAGATCGGCCTGGGCAAACGGAGCAAGGAAGCGAAACATCGTTACCTGCCGTTGAGCCCTCCAAGCAGACTTCGCACCGCCAGTAACCGCTCATGCGCTTCCACGTGTGGGCGAGCGCCAGAACTGGTTGGCGGGGCGGCGGAGGCACACGGGCGGTGCCTCGAAACTCAAGCCGCTGCTATTCGAGCAACACTGCCGCACCCACCTTCAAAACATGCAATGCAATCTTCACATACCGAGAAATCCTCTGCACAATCTCGGGATCAGCCGACAGATGGCGGGGCAGAACACTCTCAGCGATGCCATCAGCGAAGAAATTGCCCTGGCGCAGGAACCGCACCCTCGTAGGGATCCCTTCCTCGTCAGGATTAAGGTGAGCCTTCACCTTGGCGGTCGAACTTAAATTGCCCGCCGAAGAGATGGTGCGCGTGGAGAATGTTGCCAGCATATTGCTTCTTGCCGGCAATCGCTTCGACCAGAGGCAGGGAACCTTGACCAACGACATTCTTGCAATCAATATACAAACCGTCGGGGCCCCAGCGAATAAGGCGCTCCAAACGAAACCTCCGAACTCGGCCCTGTGGGCTGTGTGCGGGCAGGGCGCCCACCAAGGCCCCGATACTTCGCCCAGGAGCTCCCCGCGGTCCGAAACCATGGCGAGGCCACAGGAAGCCCGAGAGAGCTCTCGGACAACATGCCGCTGACACGAACCGTCGATAAAACAGTGACCCCATAGGCTCTGACCGCACGGCATAGGGGAGGAAGCGGGAGAGGGCGGGGGGGAACATATCCACATGCCATTTAACTTCCACTCCACCTTCCTGCGCAGGGCCAAAGACCTCATCTCCAGGGTGCCGAAGACCAACCGTGTAAAAACAGGCATCTATCATAATGCGGACTGCCCATTTCTCGAGCCAGCTCCTGAATCCAGGTAGGTACAATATCATCGCGCCGCTTCTGAATTTGTGGGCAGGTCCACAAACGGTGGTGCAGCGTGTCGTGACTGCGGCAGGGGAAGCAGCGGAAACCTCGAGGTAGCCCGCATCCACCGCGTCCGCCGCCGTCCAGATGTCATTGCAAGCCAATGCGCGCATGATGCCCTTGCCCCGATTCGAAAATATAGAAGACCTCAGGCAATATTTGACAACGTTCCATCACATCCTCTTGTCACGCTCGAATATCAACCCCGAGTCCCGCTCAAGGCTTCTGAACACCGCGTCCCGAAGCAAAGGCCGAACCAGCTGCGGAGAGTTTAACGTCATGGAAAACACACGCCCATGATCACCCTTAAACAAGCAAATATCGGGCATAGCCATCCAATGCGGCACAGAAAACATACGCAGGGCACCCAGAGGACCCGGAACTTTGGACCAAGACAAGTCGTCCACACTAAGAATGGGTTGCCGTCCTTCTCGCAGCTCCTGGAAAGACAAACACCAATCGAAAGCGTGAGTATGCCTCAACCAGACCTCACGGGACCAACGAAGGATAGGAGCAACCGCGGCCCTCCACGGGGGGTATCTTTCCAGAAGAGATAGAACAGGTCACGATCTCCCCCTGGCTCTGGGTTTGATGGAGCTCGTGCCCAACCTTCAAAGGGAGAGGAATTCGCTGTCCGAAATGCCATAGGCTTCCGAACCGTAAATCGCGCCAGCCATCGGGCCAGCAACACAAATTTTGGTCGTTTTCCTCCCAAGGGTTTTGCCCAACTTGGAGTGCCGTCGCGCCTGTCTGTGCGCAGACACCAAACGCGCCTTCAGCTTCGCTCCACGTCGTGTGCCTGGAGCGCGGGCAGCTTTGCCCGCTGCAAAATCAATGCCTAAGTTGACCACGCTCGCCTTTCCATCGCCAACTAAGGGCCGGAGTTGGTCCAGGAAAGACTTCGTGACTGACTTGTGAGTGGTGACCAGGCCGATCTTATTCATGGCCAGCTCGCAAACCAAGGTGACCGTGACGGCGCAGTGCAAGAGCTTGGCACCTGAAACGATGCCGCTCATCACTTCACGAAAAAGGCCCGTCTTGCTTTGCCCCGCGCCATCGATATACACGTCGAACTCGAGCTTTGGGGAAGAGGGGTATCGTGTCGAAGGCCGACATCGCGAAGACACGAATCATGCTGGTAGCGAGGCTGCAGCCAGCGATCAGACCCACCTTCACGAAATACGGCCCTTCGACCAGGCCTCCGCACCCCAAAAAACGCGTCGACTCGCAAGTCTGGCCAATGCCAAGGGGAAACGATATCGTCCTTATTTTCCGCTTCCCCTTCCTCATGCTCTTCCTTTTTGTCGTATCATTACTTCTTATTGTGTTGCAAAGCGGGTCGCTGCCCAATAGAGTGCGCACCACATCGCTAGGGCGCACTGGGGGCGCGCGGATGGCGTAAACCCAGGAGATAAACGTGGGCCATTTCCAATTCAATATTACCAGCAGCACGCTGCATCATGATCACACAACGATTGAACATCTCAAGCTGCGTGTCTCAAGCAATCCAATAAGCTGGAAACGCACGCAGCTGGAATCACATGCGGAACATGCGGAGGCCAATTACTGGATACACGTGCGGATGGCTGGCGTACTTAAGCACGCGAGGGCCGAACCTTGGAAAGACATGCGGCCATCTTTGTATCCAACTCTCGCCCAAACTGGCCGCGCCATGCGTTTACAACTTCGTGGTAAGAAACACATCAGGACAAATGTTCCATGTTGCTGGGTTCCGTTTTCCCCGCGAGGCAGGAGCACGGCGACGACGGCGGCGGGAAGGATAATAAGGAGGGGTGAGGAAGGAGCGAGGAGGAGGAGGAGGAGGAGGAGGAGAAGGAGGAGGAGGAGGACGAGGTTCAGGCGGATAAAAGGAAGAAAGATAAGGAGAATGGATGCGCTCTGCCGTAGCAGATCTCTATAGGTATGTGTGCTCAGCCGTAGCAGTTCTCAAATCGTATATATTCTCCCAACTGTCTTTGGTCGATCCTAGGCATTCCCAGGCGGCGCCGGCGCGAAACGTAACGACGTGACCATCCCCCTCCCCTCCCCCCCGTAACGCCCGTTATCGCCCAGGAATGAAAAAGCTTTCCGCGTGGAGGACGCGCCGTTTTAACTCCGAAATGGTCCACGCAATGACGACGAACATGTCTGAATGTCGAGATAATCAGAAGAGTAAATTCTGATTAGGTCTGCGCGCGGAGGCCGTTCCAAATCGGGAACAAACTTATATGGATCCCCGAGAAGCGCCGCTCTCATGGACTCCCTGGCAAACAACATCGCGTTAGGTCTGCTTGTAGCGCGCACTCCGCGGAAGTCACTGGGGGCCCAGAAAATGGAGACACTCCTACTCACGTCTACGCCTTGGCGCACCTAATGAAGCGACATGTCGTTGGGTAGAAATATTATTCGTGAAGGTCGATCCGTTGGAATTCCGAGGAGATCAGACAACTACAATAATTCTATGCCAGAGAGCAGCCAGGAGCGGCGAAACCTGGCTGGGAATCGCCCCGCGAGATCCCCAAAGGAGTCAGAAGGTGGCACCTTCTGCGTGTGGGGCCACTCGGGGAGGCAACACGTCGCTGGGTCAGCGCGTGTAGGGCAGCCTGCAGGAATGAAGCGTCCATGCCTGGGTACACCTGGGGGCACCCTGGGAAACGAGGTGGGGGACACTCCGCGGGACCCCTCAAAGGCTCAGCAAACTGCTACACACTAGAGGACTTCGGGACGTCAAGAAGTTATGCCCCCATCTTCGTTTGAGATGATTTGGCGGGGGGCAACGACTCGCTGGGTCTGCGTGTGGGGGTGATGGTACCGATCAAAATCGATGACACCATTGAACAATAATCCTGCGAACGACAACGACCGCTTTGAAGATGCCCAGCGGCTCCAAGGTGGTCGCTTTGCGTACGGCAGCATCCATAGCATGGGCGTCTCATCCGGACCCCCGTATGACGCCATTCCGCGGGGCCCCCTGGGGCTTAGAAAGCGACGGCACGTCTACGTGTGGTAGTACCTAGGGAGGCGAAGTCCAATCGAGGTCGCCGTTCCACGGATTTACACATAAAGGAGAATAGCAGTGACTCGACGCGTCACTTGACTTCGCACGTTTTGAGACTCTGGCGCTGCCCATCCATCATGCAAGCTCCACTGGTTCTCTCTCAATTGTGCTCTTCTGTCGTTGTCCAAAATGTCCTCCGCTGTGTTCTTCTTTTGTGATATCGGAGGTTACCTCCTATTTCGAAACCCCTCCTGTTTCTCACTGGCCAGGCAAGGGGTCTCGCAGGCCGCTCCCATACGCGGAGCGGCGCGCATCCATGACACGAGGCGCGCGGGCGCCACAGCGAGAAGTGGAAAAAAACGCGGGAGGGCGGGACAAGCGGCCCCACCCTCAACCCCCAAATGGCGGCGGACGTGCTGCAAGGCGTCTCTTTGCGAGGAGGGGGAGGTGAGACTCTAAGATCGCTTCACCTTCGTGAATCCGATTTAGCTCCCACTTCAAACCCCCTCCTTCTTCTCATTGACCAGGCAAAGAGTCTCTCAGGCCGCTCCCAGCCCCGATGCCAATGTTGGACAGGGGGGGGGGGCCAGAAACGAGGCACAGCGGTGCCTGCTTACAGTAATTGTTAGGGCCAAAACCATCGACTCCTCCCTGCGCCAACGGGCCAGCGGCGACCTCATCACCACATACATACATATGGCCTGGCAGACGCCACCGAAAGCCAGCCCCCTCGCGACAGCATCGCTTCGACGCCCGATGCGGCAAAGACGTCCGCAGCGGCACCTCGCCGAACATCATGCCCAAAATAAGCTTCGGGGTTAGCGACCCCAGCAGCACGAAAATGACACCGAAACTCGGCCGTCCAGGATGCAGGGGTGTATCGGCCAAGCGGACGGCCTTCACTGAGGAGGAACTCGTCCCACACCGGCAACCACGTACGCAGGCAGATGTCTGATCCACTCCGCAAGTGCAAAGCGAGCAAACGGCGCACAGATACACCCCCTGCTTGCGGCGGATAGGCCCGTAAACGAAAAGGCCGCCCCGTGTCTGCGCGAAGGCGCGCTTGCACTGTGCGAAAAGCTCGTACGGCGTCTGCAAACAAATACCGCGATAACGCACCACCACGTGCGCTACAGCGACAGGCGTTGCGGAGCAAACGCCGCAAGATCTGCCGGTCAACCCTATGACGGGGCAGCCTGGGCGCCCTGCACTTAGCAATGCCCAGAAAGATGCCGCGAAAAATGATGTCCTGATCACCCTGCCACAGAACGCCCGCTACCTGGTGCACCAGGGCCCACGAGCTAAGCTGGCCGCGCTGTGTGGAGGCGCACACGCACACGGCCGCGACCCGGCGGATATGTTGCACCGCGCACCCCACTTGGGGAGCCCCGAAGAGCTCGCAAGCCCAAGCGACCATCCGCGGGTGGGACGCGTAGGTCTGGAGGGTGGACGGCACAGTTTGCACAGCCGTCTGGCTGCCAGGTTCACCGAATCCACATCTGAGGCGCGGGCCTCGTCTAAGATCTGGCGTGGCGGGGCCCTGTCAGGATGCTGGGGGGTGCAGCCTCTGTCTCTGCTCAGCGCCACCATCATGTCCCAGTTGTGCCTCTCAGCTGCCCGAGCTCATCGACCACGCGCCACCAGACGTCCTAATTATGCACACACTGGGCCGCCAGCCGCTGCGGCGGCTGAAAACGACTGCACCCCGCGGGGTGGAAACGAGGCGACGCGCGGGAAGGGCAGCGGACTGCCGTCACCTCCACGGCCTGCGGGGCCTGGGGCCCGGCGGGGCACGCACCGGCGCCGCCGAGGGCCCGGCGGGGCCGAAAGGCGGCCGCAGTGGACTCGGAAGCCTGCGTGGCGCCGCCGGCGCCTTCGGGGTCGGCAAGGGCGCCCAGCCGGCTTTTCAAGACCCGGGCTTCGGACCGCACCATCTGGGCGGGGCGCCGACAGGGGAAAAAGGTCGGCCCAACTCGGTGCACCCTGGGCGCCATTCTAGGGAGCGCCCTGGCCCCAGTCCTCGAGCCAAGCGCGGCTGCTGCCCGCGCGCGGCGTCACTCCCCGTTACGTCTTCATGAGCTCCTCGTTCTTCGTAGTTCCTGTCCTCCACCTCTACTCCTCCTCTCCTCCTTCCCCTCTGTGTCCGGCGGCTGGCCAGAGCCACACCTGGAGTGTCATATGATTTTCGCTCCCTGCTGGGCGAAGGGACGGGGGGCAGACGGAGAAACGGAGAAGCAGGAAGGAAGGAAGAGGACGAGGATCAAGATGAGTAAGAGGATGAAGAGGAGGAGGACGACGACGACGAGGACCACGAGGCCCCACTGCAGAAGTAGCAACAGCAGACGACCCCCCGATGCGAGGGGGCCCTTTTTTCCAAGCAGGAACACGCACGCGAAGAGATGCGAGGAGGAGGAAGTGAGAGTCCAACATCGCTTCACCTTCGTGAATCCGAGATTTCGTTTCGGTGTCGCACCAAGCTTCGCATATTATTGGCGCGCTCCGCGCAGTTCGCCGATGCTGACACAACTTCCACCGAGTCTATATGCAATATCGTGCGCATGTGGGTGTCTCTCGACTTCAATGTGAGCCTGTGGTGGAAAAACCTTCGCTGCATCGAGACGCGCGCTGCCAAACATTATAATGGTCTCTTGCGTCACCAGGCAAATTATCAAATACTTGCATACTTTAAATCAAGCCCGTAGGCCTTGATGAATTGTTTCAGGCCCTTTTTCATTTCTAGTCAACGTGACTTTAACATGCGTGTCTCCGAAAACGCAATACATATCTTGGTGCAGGCCTCAACATAATGTTCCTTTCGCGCCATGTCGTGAGCCTCACTCGTGTCTATGTATGTGTATATATACAAGTCATATAGATAACCTGGTGCAAACATGTACGTATGCCGTTGAAGCTCAAGTAGGGTACCCAAACAAACGACTAGTACTGTGATGCGCCTGTGCATGTATGTCTCTGGCAGCGCGACATAACAACATCTGAGGAATTCGAGCAGCTGGCATAAACATACTACGGGCTAGCTCAAACTATGGATAGCTGGTGCTAAGTAAATCCCGTGGGCAGAACATACACGCAAGTTAACGACCACGTACTTCGGCATCTTTGCAGTAAAGTCAGCACGCACATGCTGTATCACTGCTGAGGGCGCGATAGCTATGACCGCAACAACCCCCCACCCTCCTCCAGGAGTGCTTTGCTGGTTCACTTTGATGATCTCGGGGTTCATTAAGACCTCGTGTAACCCACACAAGGTATGACATACACGAGCCGAAACAAAACTGCGAACAATACTACTATGCCAACCTTCGAGTGTGAAGTTGCCCTATCACTCCCATCAAAGCTGATGGGCGCATGGCCAAGTGTGGGCATCTTGCCTAGTATGGCCAAGGCTGGGAAACTAAACCAAAGTATTTACACATACGCAGGTGGAGCACATGGCACCCCCTCGAGTTGTATGTACAATCCCCCAGGGGATATGCACTTGCTATATCACGAAATGCTCCAATTCTCTTGCAAAGAGCGTGCCATGATACCGCGGAACCATTCAACACATATAAATGCGAAGGGCGATTGCAAACGTTGGTTCGAACATGCCTTGTTGATACTAAACCGACAATTCCACTGGTGCGCAAAAGCCATGCTAATGCACGTGCGATGCACCACAAACTACAAATGCTGACGACCTCGCGGGCGTCACCTGAAAGGTCACGTAGGTCGTTGCCCATCCTGAACCCTCACCCCTCAAGACGGCTAGCAGGTGCATTCGAAATTTAAAGCTTGGGTAACCATAGGACCACCTACCAATGCTCCTTCTGACCGGCACACCTCTTCTAGACCAACCGCTCCCTTGCGTGATCACGCCGCTTATTGCACACTGCTGGCTGCTGCGTCGCAGTTGGGAGCCCGGACAGTTCAAATCAGACTATATTCCACCGAGGGCTAAACTTCCGCCGCCGCGACTCGCGGCGAAAGGCGCGTGTCAACCCAATCAGTGTCACGTACGGTAAGTGCCGCTCCGCCAGAGGCAAGAAAGCCAACCCAGACCCATGAGGGAACCCATGAGCGCCCCCCCACACCATCCCTCTCGAAATGAGCCAGGCGAAGAAACTAACCCAATCGCAAAACGAGGCAAGTATGCATGGGACCACTCAACGCATAAGAGCACTTTGACGGCACCATGCGGACTGTGCCACTACGGCCTTCGGTGGAGTTCCCTATGAAGTCACAAAGCGCGTGAGTGCCGAAATTGCCCGAGGCCGCCATGCGGACTGTGCTACCAGGGCCTTCGGTGGAGCTCCCTATGGGGCCGCGAAACGCGTGAGGGGTGTGCCGAAATGGCCCGAGGCCGCCATGCGGACTGTGCTACCAGGGCCTTCGATGGAGCTCCCTATGGGGCCGCGGAACGCGTGAGGGGTGCGCCAAAATGGGGCGGGGCCGCCATGCGGCCTGTGCCACTGGGACCGTCGGTGGAGCTCCCTATGGGGCCACGAACCTTGCGAAGGGAGTGCCAAAATGGGGCGGGGCCGCCATGCGGCCTGTGCGGCCGGGGCCTTAGGTGGGCCACGAAGCGTGCGATGGGTGTGTGAAAATGGAGCGGGGCCGCCATGGGGCCTGTGCCACTGGGGTCTTCGGTAGAGTTCCATATGGGGCCACGAAGCGTGCGATGGGTGTGCCAAAATGGGGCGGGGCCGCCATGCGGCCTGTGTCACTGGGGCCTTTGGTGGAACTCCCTACGGGGCCACGGACCGTGTGAGTGGTGCGCCAAAATGGGACGGGGCCGCCACGCGGCCTTTGCGGCTGGGGCCTTAGGTGGAGTTCCCTGGGGGGCGGGACACGTGCGCGGGGCGCCCCGTGTTTAGGAGGACGAGGAGAGAGGAGGAGGAGGAGGAGGAGGAGGAGGAGAAGGAGGAGGAGGAAAAGGAGGAGGAGGAGGAGGAGGAGGAAGAAGAGGAGGAGGAGGAGGAGGGGGGGGAGGAGGAGGAGGAGGAGGAGGAGGAGGAGGAGGAGGAGGAGGACGAGGAGGAGGAGGAGAGAGGAGGAGAAAGGGCAAAAGAGGAGGAGGAGGAGGAAGAGGAGGAGGAGGAGGGGGAGGAGATGGAGGAGGAGGCGGAGGAGGATTTGTTTGACATCAACCGTGGCACCAAGAGCGACGCCCTGTGGTCGTCGCCCCCTGCTATCTGGCCTGGAGCAGGCCAGCGAGCAGTGAAACAATGAAAGGAGGGCAGGCGCGAAAGCCACGGGGCGATTTCCCACAGGAGGGGAGGATCCCCTGTGGCTCACCGCCTGCCCCCCTAAACCCACGACCAGAGAAGAATGAGGTCAGGGCGAGACGCACCACACGCTGGGGACGCATGCTGCATCTCTTAGTCTGAGTCATCAGACTGTGGTGCAGCGACGGCGACGAGCGAGGCCTCGTCCTCTTCGAGGACTGAGGCAGCTCGGTCTCGGCCGAACGCCCCAGCCGACGAGGCTGGCCCAGGCACCTGCTGCACGGCCTGCTGGGAGGGACTCTCACCAGGCAAGCCAAACACAAAATAGGCTGCTTCCTCTTCCGCGTCGCGCGGTCCAAGAGGGAGAGATGGTGGGGCAGCAGCTTCGACGGTGCACGACGTCTCGGACGAAGGGCCAACGACTCGATTTTGCTGCTGCCCCTGTCGTTGTGCTGACGGTGGGGGATCGACCTCCAGCTCCACGCCAGCTGGGACTGATGTCCCCCCTGCTGCGGAGACAAGCCTCCGCACCAGCTTAGCTAGCCGCAACTCCCTTTCTTGGTCGGTGAGACGCCGAGGCCGCTCCTCTTGCTCCAATTCTGCATACCAGGGGCCAACCTCGACAGAAACGCCTTTGCGCTTGGGGTGGCGTCCAGCCCCCGCAGAACTCCAGGCAGACTTGGCACCCGCACTCTGTGGTTGGCCATCACACTGTCTAAGTAAATTGCGAGGCTGCCCATGGGAGGAGTAGGCAAAGCATCGCATACAAATAGTGAGGGCAGCACCATCGGAGCATAGCAAAGCGATGCAGTTGTGCCTGAGGGCTGAAAGCACCGCGGACGCCAGCTTGAAATCTGTCAGGCACTTCCCAGGGGCAGGCGGGTCGAGCCCTCCAGGCCGAGAACCGTCGGGGTTCGTCCGCGGTACGCCCTTAGCAACCTTGAGACATTCAATGCACTGCCAAAACGAAGAAACCCGAGTCCACTGATGGGGCCTCGGCTCAAACTTGGGCCTGGGGGGCTTGGGGACGAGCGGGGCCCCAGTCAGGTTGAGCCGAGGCCACTCTGGCATCAGCTCGGTTGAAAGACGCATAACACACTGGGCGATGGAGAGGCATCGCTCGAGCCATACCACATCCTCGGGGTCGGGTTGCGGGTGGCGCCCAAGCGAGCTTTTGGCAACAACATATGCAAAGCCATTGCCTTGCTTCCAAAACCGCTCCAACTCGGTGGGTCACTGGATTCTTCAACATGCGCCTTGACCTTAAAAACCCCTTCTAGAAGCTTGCGGTGGGCGGGGAGCAAAAATCCCGAATACACACGCTGGTAGGACAAAGCCCTGAGCAGTGGCTCGCTGGCTTGTACGACCACGTTCTTACAATCAGAGTATATAGAACAACCTGGCATGGGCGTGCATTGCAGCAACAGCGTAGGCCCCAAACTCTCCCCCTTGGGCAGTCTGGAGGCTGGGGGCCCATAGTGGACAACTGATGCGAAAGATCTCGTCACCATCATCACCTACCATCACTATCCCCCACCCAGCCCTGGAGAGTTATTTAACAGGGTGCGCAGCGCAGGACCCGTCCACAAAGATATGTCCAAAAATATTTAGCGATCTAGACGAACGATCATTGGCCCAGATGATCTCCAGTCCAATATCTTCAACACCATCACGAGCAGGGAAAGGAAACACATCCCCTGGATGCCGAAACAGGCCACGAGTAAACAGGAAGTGGTATTCTTTGTTGTTTTCGGGCGCGAGGTCGGGCGGGGGCAGGAGGGAAAGCTTTGGCTTGAAACTGTCAAACACTGCCTGCCTCTTGTCATGGCACGCTGGGCAATACCAGAGCCGATGAAGCATGGTATCGGGCGCGCCCCCGCAAAGCTCGCAGATCGTGTTAACAGCGTACCCTGCTTCAGCAGCTCTGGTCCTGGTCCACGTGGCATTACAAGCCACAGCCTTGGCACAACCTCGCTGGTACGGCGTGCCCTTCTTGGAGCGGAGCGTGGCTGCCACCACGCCATGGCAAACTCGAGCTCCTGGAGTATGCGGGAGCAGAGCAGCGCCGCTGGACCTCTCATGGGTCCTCTGAACAACGGCCTTCAAAGGCTTCTTAAGAAGGGCCGGGGAAGTGACGGTGAGTGACGCCTCGGTTCCGAAATCATCCAACAGGGTACAGTAGCTGGGCATGCTCCAAGAAATCCTCTTCAAGGCCAACTTCATGGCCCCCAGGGGCCCGCGGACCCCGCGCCAGGATTTGGGCCCTGGGGAACCGAAAACCCCTCTCCAAGCGTCCCTCAGCTCGGCCCACGGGATAACAAAAGGAAAGAGATTGGTTTGGTTGGCCCATATCTCCTTGGAGTACCTGACGATGGGCGCCACCGCAGGGTACCAGGTCGGGTCCTGGGATAAAATCAGGACAGAGGTCCGCGACCTCATCTTGGCAGAAGGCTGCATAGTACTGGCAGCGGCGACCTGCAATCTGTGCCATTCAAAATCCGAAAGCCCGTGGACCTCATACCCAAACGTGAGGCTGGGGAGGGGGCCAGCAGTAAAAACTTTGGCAGCATGCCGCCCGAGGGGACGCTTGGCTCGCTTGAGCCTCCTGACTTTTTTGTTGAAAGCCCGTTTGCGGTCGGGCAGCTTTTTCCCCCTGCCAGGAAGCCGTCGGGGGGAACCTGGGGCAAAGTCGATGCCCAAGTTGACGGCCCCTTGGACGATGGGCCCCGCGAGGCCGCCGAGACAGTCCCTGACTTCCATGGCGGGCGCGTCCGACGAGGCAACGAGGGAAGCTTTGTCAGGGGAAATGATCGCCCCCATATCGACCTCGATGGCTTTCCTGAGGTTGGCTGCGGCCTCAGGGAGGTGCCTGACAATGTAGGCATTGGACCCGTTGCAGCTGAGACCGTAATCGTCAATGTAAACGTCGAGCGCGATTTCTGGTGGCAGCTGCAACGCGTCAAGGGCAGGGATAGCATTGATGCGCACCATGGTGGTCGCGAGACCACAGCCGGCGACAACGCCGTTGGTGACATGGAACGGGCCGACGACCACGCCGCCAAGAGAAATGAACCTGTCATGCCGATATCCTCGCACAGCAAGCCGAGCTAACTGGACAGGGAACTCATACTCATGGCACCGCTGAAGGAGCGTGCCCAAGTGAACCAACTCGAAACATTCGTAGAGATCCCACAGAACCGTGCAACTCGCCTGATTACTGGCCACAGCTCCTTCAGCACGCAAAGTCTGCCTCCAGACAACATCAATCACGGAAGAAAACTGGGGCCCAGCAAAGTAGCTTCGCTGAAACTTGCTTTCCCAATGGGCCGCATAGGGCCTGCGGCACCGCCCCCAGAGGCGGTGAGTGCTACAGAAAAGGCCGATGGGCCGATACCCTCCAGAGGGTTTGTTGAGAAGGGAAAGCACAACCAGGGAGGTTTGCCCACGGACCAGCCCAGAAGCTTCCATGATGGAATACATGGTGCCCAGGACATCGAGGGACCCATCCGAAAGGGA